CTTATTGTCTGGACAATAATAGGCTACTTCGATAAGAGCTCATGCATTAAACTTTGAACTTTGAAAATTTTTATACGGCAAAAAAGTTATGTTTAAATAAAATAATAATTTATGTGATGAATTAAATGATAAATTGTTTGCAAATGTAAGTAAATGAGTGGCTTCATATCAAACACGGACATGTGTTATGCAAGAAAAATTGAAATAAATTGATTTTTTTGTATACAGCTGCTATTATTCTTTTTATAAAAAACTCACTTCCTAGAATTTTAGTGAAGGCTTCAAAAGTAATCTTGTGGACATTCGGATATCAGAAATATATGAAATTATTATAAAATTATTATTTGAAAATACAGATGTCCGCTTTTGGAACAAAAATGGGCAAATGTCCATGTTTGATCCAAATGTGATGGTAGGTGTCAAAAAAAAAATGTATTTGTAAGAATGAACTCTCGGTTTGGACCTAACTTAAAATTTAATGCTTATAACATTCATATAAGGAATCAGGTATTTTAAATAAAAATTTCAATTTTAAAATCTTTTATTCAAGTTGCATTAGTACCTACCTACAAGGCAATTTAACTAAAAATATATAAAGTAACATATTCGAACTTATAAAATATTTAAACTTTAGTAACATTCAAATTGAAATTAACACAAAATCACTATCAAAATCAGCGTTATTATTTTCACACTCACATTAATCGTCACATTTAGCCGATATTTAAGGTTCTGCTTGCATTATGTTTTTGTACCACTGCAAAGTACCATTCTCCCTTAAATTTACTCCAAAGTGTTTTTCGAGCAGTTTTGCTACGTCCTTAACCTTTTTTGCTTTTAGGGTCACACCAATACGAATTTCTTTTAGGTTGATCTGTCCAATAGTGCAAATAGTCTTACACATTTTCCTCTCTGCATAAGTGTCAAGGTTATAAGCTATCTCTCTTTTAACAACGATGTTTCCCAATTTAGTTTTTCGAAGAACTATTCGCCGGCAGGTGGCGAGATGAAGATGCAACGATCAGAACAATTTTCGACCGAAGAGGACGAGTGGGAAGACGATCCAGAGGAAGACCAAAACTTAGGTATCAAGATAACATAAAGGATGATCTAAAATCCATCGGAGTTAAAGCATGGAGAAGAGTTGCCAGAGACAGGGGCGAATGGAAGATTGTTCTGAAGAAGGCTTTGGCTCATGACGAGCTGTAATGCCACTGATGATGATTCGCCGGCAGGTGGAAATTTTGAAACGAAGTTGTTCCGCTGTTTTCACACAACTTTTCGCTTCTTGTTTCCAGTCCAATGGTACCCAATCCCTTCCAATCAACTTAATCGTACTATATTTCTTAAAAATTTCATGATATTCTTCTTTTGTCATAATTGTGTTGATTTTTTTAAATGTTTTCTCTATCATCCCAAATACTCTGTCGGTAGGAAGGAATGAGCGCCCTGTTACAGGAACGACTGTTTCAATTTTTCGTATGCTTGTTGGAGCACAGCTATCCAGAAACTTGCAGCACATAGTTAAAATATTTATATTCGTATTTTGTCCAGCGCAACCATCAGACACGAAACGAAGCAACCTAGTTTGATGATTTTTTTTATTCGTATTCCGTCCAGGTATAAATTGAAACAGTACTGAGATTCAGGGATTCATTTGACAATCCTTTAACTAATGAGAGGTTATAACAGTAAAACTGTTGTGACTAGTACGTACTTTGATCAGTTACTTTTGGCAAAACAAGGTCTTTCTGGCAATCAAAATTCAAAATAAAACATTTTTGTAGTTTTTCTAGCAGATGTTGGAAGAAGGCTTGGGCGTGTTTCTTGTGTAACTGCATTTTCATTTTTAGACACCTTTTTTCTTACTCCGTTTTTTTCCACTTGGATAAGGTTTTGTAATTTTGGGCAAGTACTACATTCATACATGCTAGGGTAAGAGAACCCAATGTTGAAATCTGAGCAAAATATTTTCCTGAAAAATCCCTGAGTAACCTTCTCAGATTCTTTTTTACCATAGTTAAACATTTTCCACATTTTGGCGATATTCAGGTCTGAGGTAGGTAGACACGTGATGAGTGATGTCGTGAATAACGCGATTCAATAGCTTAACTACAGATGAACTTTTTACTTCTTTTCTTGACGGAGAAAACTAACCTTCCATGTGGTTTCCGCCTTGGGTTTCCACTGGGACATGAGATACACCGTTCTTGAATTTTCGAAACAGTACTATAATTTTATGCTTAGTACTAAACTGCAACACCTTGAGAAAAGCATCCCTGCAAACGGTGACATTGTTTCCAGTGTTTTACCACCGAATATTGGAAGATTGTAGTTTTCCCCTTTACAGGCTCGAGCTTCTTTCTTTTGGAGTTGGGTGGGCCAGTCCGACAGTATTTCAAAATGAACGCATCTTGCTTGCTTTTTTCTGCGATGGAGTAAAAGGCTTTGGGAACTCCATGACATCATGCATTGTTAAAAGCTGGCACTGGTATCCAACTCGGCGATGACAGGTGGGATACAGAGAAAGACCTTTGGCTGAGTACCTGCATGAACATACAAAAGCAGGACTTAATTAAACTTTAGTTAATTCAATGAATAGCCTATTCATTAAAGTCAATAGTCAGAATTTTCATCAGGAATCTCTCAATTTTATGAAAAAGTGGTACTAAGCTGGTCATGTTTTTACAGACTTTCAAGCTTCATGTTTTAAAATCAGACATTAACATATCACTTAAAAACTATTCATAACTCGGATGAATATATATATATATATATATATATATATATATATATATATATATATATATATATATATATATTATACAGTAACTTCTACCATATCAAATTTCCACACACCTGCACTCAAATGTTAAGTACATGATTGAGTTCAATGATTAGACTTACCTTTGTCGTTTCTGGACGTTTTTTTTTTTTCATTTTTCGGGATCGCTCTTCCTCTTACGCGTCGTCCCTGGATTGACAGATATATTTGACTCCATGAATCTACTTTGTAAACTAATAATATGCGAAAAAACAGTTTAAACTACTGATAAACACAAATAAAACGAATAACATCAGACAAGTTGATTTCTGTCATGTAATCACAATACAGCATTCTCATTACTGTTGGGGAGATGTCCGTTTTTGAAATAAACCTTCATAGAAGGAGTTCGTTTTTGAAACAGACCTTCAACTGTTAAGTTGAAAATAACGTATTTGCGTCCAATTTGGAAGGAAACTATTATCACCGTTGAAAAGAACAGGAAAAATTCTATAAGAAACCACTACTAGCGTAGTAAAAAAAAGTTACATATTTATGAATATTTCGTTGTATTCTGGTATCCTGTTTAAATAAATATCCATTTCCAGTGGCGCGCCCAGCGGGGGTTTGAGGATTCAAATCCCCCCAGGACCCTATTCCGACACTGTTACTCACAAATTTCAAGGACTCAAAATGGAGTTAGTATCATAAAAAAAAAAATTTCGGTACCCAACCAAAACCTCCCACCGTTTCTATTTTAGTTATATCAAGTTCTCAGCGAATTTGGATAATATGCAAAGGATCTGGGTAAAACTAGTTTTATCCAATTAACCAAGGGGCAACTGCCGACCTCGAGAAACACAGCCCCCATAGTAACTGTGAACATTACGTCCTCCGGTGGAATTCATAGCTTGTACATCGAGGGTCGTATCAATAATAAATGTAGATCGTTTTTGGTAGATACAGGTGCAACAAGAACTATTGCACGGCCAGAAGTAGTACGAGGCCATCATAAATTATCGCCTGCAACAGTAAAGCTTAGAACAGCAACTGGTAAGATAATTAATACATATGGCGAGGCTAATATGTCAGTATCCATTGGCCAGATCACAGTGAAACATAGAGTATTAATTGCACGACGAGTTCATATTGGGGATGGATTTACTACGGAAAGTTGGGGCTGTATTGAATGTCGAAAATGGAGTTCTCGAGATCAGTGGTGAAGAGTTGCCGTTGTATGAAAACAAAGAAGATGTTATCAGCTTAATAACTACTTGTGGCGTAACAATACTCGATAATAGTGAGAAAATTTTGATGACCAGACATTTTATGGAAGTTTAAGGATGGTCAAAGATGTGAACAATGCCGAGTTGCTAACGGCAAAAGCTTTGGTGAGAATTCGAGATGTCGTTCCTGTAAGAGTTATGAATTTAAAAGGAAATGCTATTAAGTTAAGTAAAAGAACTTTGATCGGACAGTGTTCCAGTGGCTTCGATTTGTTCCATGAATAGTAATGAAAAACCGTCGAAATCTAAGTATCCAAAGGAGCTTGTTGAGACGATGATTAAAACATGCCAAGATCTTGATTATGAACGAACTAAAACAGTGAAGTCTATGCTGATAGAATTTCTAGATGTTTTTACGATTGATAAGAAGGATAAGGGCAAAACAAGCATAGTAAAGCATAAAATTAATACCGGAGACGCTCAGCCAATCAGACAACAACCTAGACGACTTCCATTTACGAAAAGAGATGAAGCCAAAGACATCATCAAAGATATGAAAAAACAAGGGGTAATTGAACCATCAAACAGTCCATAGACATCACCAGTAGTGTTAGTAAAGAAGAAAGATGGTTCAACACGTTATTGTATTGACTACCGACAGCTCAATGCGGTAACTCGAACGCAAGAAAATCAATCAATCAAACAACGAATTAGAGATGGGACTACTTTAGATAATTCTAGAATAATACTTTTGGTATGTATATGTAACGAAGTTATGAGTTAGTTTAGTTGTTAAGATATTACCGAACTGTAAACTTATAAATAAATATATTTGTATAAATCTAACCGTTCGTTTTATTTAAAAACGGTACAATATATATATTTACAGTGGAATAATCACAGCATTAGTATAGAGAAATTGATCCTTCAATAAAAAACACCATTACCAAAATTGAAAATACAGATATTATTCGAATTAAGATCAATGATTTTATATACACAATACTTACCACACATTCGGATTTCCTCCATTTTGTAATATCAGTCTGGTAACATTAACAGCAAAGTCTGCATCATCGCACCCAATTGCTAAATGGAAGGAAGAAATGCCTGTTGTAGGTAAAATAATGTTTGGGTCTGCCTCTTTCTCGCATAATACAAATTTTACAGCACTAAAATAGAAATATGTTGTTAGCATAAAACCTTGTAGCCTTTGGACAATTTCGGACAACAGTAATACGAGTAAGGAAGGTAAGATTAAACTGTTAAAGACAATTTTTTTATTTTCAATTAACAGAAGACAAAACAAGTAAAAAGCTGTCAAAATGGACGATAAAAATTGTTTACTAAAGATGACAAATATTGCATAGAAAAACAATGCATTGCAATCTCTTCATCATTTGGGTTAAATGATTTGTTCCAATTTCAATTAGATAAGCCAACGCTATCAAAGGAAAAAAATCCATCCAATTTGTTATTTACAATTTCTTTTTGATAACATGTTTTCGTTTATATTCTTTTTAAATAAATAAATTAAATAAATTTGCTACAAATTTTATCTGCCAGTGTGTACGTTATCAGCTACTACTGATGTCAGTAATTGCAGAGACAGAAATCCTAAACACATTTTGAACTTACGACTACTAGTGACCTATTGACTAGAAAGTTTTCTTAAAAAATGTTATTACGCAGACGAAAGTACATTTTGATTTTCATTAATCATAATTCTTAATTGGCTGATTGATAGTTTGAGTAAAATACATAAAACAAAACACACTGATAATATTTGTCAACAAATTGTTCATTCAATTTTTACAATAATATAGCGCCAATATTTTTTAATCATGGTCAATAAAAATAGATTTTGTTCGTCTTCATTTTAGACTTTAGGCATTTTTGTTTACTGAGATACCAAAATTAAGCAAAATAAAAGTATGAAACAGTACCATCAAGAATAATTACTGTTACTTCAGCCCGCTCGCTCCGCTACTGATCTCCATCCCAATGGTGAAACTACCTGGCGGATAGCTATCTCCATACCTAGTGGATCAATTTTTAATAAAACTTGATGAATTTTGTTTATTTTGGTTTTCTCTATAATAGTTTAGCACAATGTTGTCCAAAAACAATAATAAAATTTTTGTGAATGAAAAAAGTAAAAAAGATTAATTTTTGAACACTTTTCATTTTGAACACGCCATTTTTTTAAGAATTTTTAGTTTTTCTGGTAAACTAACATGTAAAGGTACTTCTTTTTTAAAACAGTTCTGGAATTTTATATTTCAGATTTGCTGTTCCAGAGATTAACTGTCGGCCTGGACAAAGCCAGTAAAATATGATATGCCAATACATGCATTGGAAACAAAATATATAAAAAAACTGGATGATCCAAAATTTGATGGAATTTGAAATAGATGTTTTGAAACTGAGTTCGTAAGATTGTAAAGAATACCAGGTTAAATAGCTGATTCATCAACTAATTATTTTACAGCACTATTAAAAAAATCTGAAATATCTAGCCCTCAATAACATTACTTAATTATATAATGCCAAAAACATTTCTCGTAAGTTAAATAATTATAGCGACCTGATCTACAACTTTAAAACAGTTAACTTGTTTTGGCAGACTATTTTCTGATAAATATTCATTGTATCAAATAAACCTCATGTGTTACTTTGCTAAGTTTTACAGTTCTTTAGTCAATAAAAATGATGACATATATAGTGGAGAATACAGACTCTCTCTTAACATCAAAAAACAACATTCATGAAAATTAGCAGTAAAAAGATATATGTACTTACTTGGGAACAATAATCACAGAAATTAACTATTATATTGCAGAAATAAGAGTCAGAATTGAAAAAGAACATGCGCCAACTTAGTGAAAATGAAAAAGATTTTATGCTTTATGATTAAAGATCTGACATTGGCCCTCAGAATAAGGCTAATTAAATGCTATGTACACAATGTACTCTACTATAGAGCTGAATGATGGACATTAAATTAGAATACAACCTTAATAGATTGTTAAGGATTCCATGGGTAGATAGAGTCACGAATACAGAGGTGTTTCCTGGTTGAAGAACCTGAGAGAGTACTTTGGTTGCCACCCAAGGCAATTGTTCAGAGCAGCTGCCTAGAAGGTCAGAATAGCCATGATGATTGCCAACAAAATAATTCAATCAATCTGCAAATTAGTATCAAAGAATTTCTTTTTGTAAAAATTTAACTTTTTCACATGATGAAGAAGAATGTTTAAATGAAAATTTAAAAGATATAAGCATAATTACTTGTCATTCTACAAGCCAAAAAAAGATCAGTGCCAACTTTGCACTAAATATAATTCCTTAAATGTGGCCCGGAGAAGCAGCTATTAGAAAATGACTATGTACAACACATTATACGGAAGGAGGAGTGTATGACTGTGAAAGCAGCTGCCTTTTGCTATGGATGGACAGAGTTACAAGGTAAAAGAGGCAGTTCAGAAATAGGTAGTTGCTTACTTAACTACATTAACCAAATAAAATCTGAAATAAGACAGTTCTGTTTGTATTCTGATACCTGTGACAGACAAAACCACAACCAGTATGTTGCAGCACTGTTTTTATATTTGGTCCAAACTTCAAAAATAGAAATCATAGAGCACAGGTTCCTCGAAAGTAGTCACACCTTTATGGAGGTGGACAGCATGCACAGTGCTATAGAAAAGGCAAAGAAATATGTTCCTGTTTATACCATAAACCAGGACTGGTTTAATATTTTTTAAATTGCTAGATCAAGATGTGTCCAAAACAAAAAAAGTATGGGCTATAATCTTCATCAGATGAATTTTTCAGATTTCAAAGACCTTACAGATTTATCAACAAAGTTAATAAAAAACAGGAACAAAAATACAGAAAGAAGCACAGTACATTGGCTCAAAATCAAGTGCCTAAAAAATGAAAAAAGTAAACCAGAAATAATTCAGTGTAGGTATGACTATACTTCAGAGTTCAAAGTAATTCAAGTATTTGGTAAAACTCTTCTAAACTCTTTTGAAGAAATAACCCTTCAAAATTTATTTTCAAAAATAATTCTAATAACAGGGAAGAAAAGAAATAGCCTTCTACAACTGTGTCATAAAGGAGACATCCCAGAAAAATTTCACAGTTGGTACAAATCTTTGCCAACATCGAAATCAGCTGTAGACGAAGTTCCTTCCTCAACTAACAGTGATGAAGAGATATTGAAGACTGAAGGAATTTGTTAATTCATGCTATAAAATGTTTCTTGTGTTAGTTTAAGATTAAACTGTTAAATACATTTTTGCTATTTTTATTTTGCCAAAATCATGTAAGTCCCATATTTTTTTTTTGTTTTTTAGCATCCCCTAGAAACAATAATATTATTGTGAGTATGAGTACAAAATATGTATTGCCGAAATATACCAACCTTCAAACTTTAATTTTTTTCAAACAATAATTATAATTATAAAGTTAATTTAAGACTTAACAGATTTTTGTAGTAAGCCCACAAAATTAAGTAGTAATGATTGAAGTAAGCCTCCTGAATTTAAAAACACTGCTATTGGTATCCCAAAAACTTCTGAGGTATCTATCTAGTGACCAACAATTTTATTAAGGCCAAATCAAGCTTTTAAAAATATTTTTGTAGTTTTAAATAGAATTTATCTGCTTTTAACTTGTAACAAAAAAATTATATCTCACAAAAAACAAAGATGTTCATAATTAAGTAAAGATTTGTGTTTTGAAGAAAAATATAATTTACAAATCTATTTGTGTACCTACTTTGTTAAATTTAATTTGTGTAATTTGATCTTAACACACTTAAATATAAAGAAAGTTCTTTTTATTCTTAAATAAATAATAAAGACATGTCCAATACAATTTTCCGTGATTTCTAAATGTTTTTGCCCTTAATTATGTCCTCAAAGAACTACAAACTAATATTTACTTTTTCTATTTGAATTTGAATTGAATTCTATTTCTATTTAAAAACAAATGCAAAGACGTTGTTTTAAAAACAATTAATAAATAAAAAACAAAACAAATACATAGTCACATACTGCCACACATAAATACTATTCTATACAAAAAAAAGAAAAAAAAAGTACAGACATACCTGAGATTATTGTCGTCGATGGAATCGTAAAGCAGGGAAGCTAAGTAAAATTGTTTTGCGCTTTTTCCTCGATACATATTCATTGTCACACATAACTATTGTCACTTTTCTCATCGAAAAATCCAATTAAACGCTTTACTGCTCGAAATTTATCAAATGCCGAAAAAAACAACTCTCGACTTGCTCTCATCCGCTTTCAACGACTATTTGTAAACAACTTTCCGTTTTTTAATAGGTTAGGTTTTTAAATTCAAATGTCCTGCTCTTTTACGTTCAAAAAACCGAATTTACTATTCTGTAGAGCATATACTAGTCAACCAGTAGAATAGTCTTATGTTTCGAGACAATTTCGTTGCTAACACTCGCTTGACCTACTGGTGAAGAACCACTTATACGCTGATATCAGTTAAATGCGCACGCGTTCTTAGAAATGAGGAAGATTTTTTAAAGCAAAATTATATTGATTTAAGATTACGACTTCGTCTGGACCCTAGAAACTTAAATAAACTAATCTTATTTTTCAGCAATTTTAAAAATATTTTGTTTAATTGCCGTTTCAAAGATCAGCGTACTCATACAAAATGCCATTAAAAAACAAACTGTTAATACAATGAACTTGGATAAACAGATCCATTAATTTCAAGATATTGGGTTTCTTATGAATTTGTCGTAGAGTGTAACTACCTGTTAGTTGTTAGTAGATTATAATATAATAGTATATTATTTGTATCATGTTTGTCCATTCGCAGCACTTTTATCCCCGTTTTTTGCGAGGTCTGTATTATCTGCGGCAGTCAATAGACTATTTAACTGCTGATCTCCGAATGTGACTCTGGACCAGTCATCAACGGTCCATGAAATCTTTGATCTTGCCCAATTGACGCGCTGCTTAAAGTTTTCATGGACCGTTGATGACTGATTCAGAGTGTATTCAGCATGGACGTATAAATAAAGAATTCAGCGACTCAGAGACGAATCGAAATTTGATGTTTGCGTAGGAAACTTTCGAAAACGGGCTATCAAAAGTCAAAATGAAGCATTCCATAAAGATTGCCTCAAAAGAACTGTGAAGTTTGAAATCAGTAGATTTAGTGAACAATCGGTAGACCTGGTAACCCTACGAGAGGTACTAATGGGCAACCAGATAGGGCAACGTACAGGCAGCAAAACGTGGCGGTCACATCGAAACTATGGCTTCACTTTTCGAAAGTTTATTAAATAAATATTACATGTACTCTCTATTTTGTACTCTCTTGTCTAAGTATTGAGACATTGTGGCATAAGATGAAACAGAAATTTCGTAATGATCCCTATAATTTCTTGAATTGTCCGAACATTTTGTTGTCTCGATGTTATGCGGCAACATTTTCATTTATTTTGCCGCCAACGTTGCAATTCAAGTTTTTGAAGCCGAACCATTTCAATATTTTGTTATCAATGATAAGAGTTTATTGTACCTATTATTGAACTCGTTCTTAGGTTCAATAAGAAATATCGTGAAGATGAACGTTTTCAATAAATTTTCGTTTGTCCGAACATTTAGTTCTTATATAGGTACTTACAAACATTAAATTGATGAATGTAATCATAATCAAAATTATTCATAGATCTGATGGTAATTGATAGTCGGTGCATTTCAAATCCGATATATATGAGGGTCTAGCCCCCATTACATCGGTATAACAGTTGATTATTAAACCAACTGTGTTCTTATCTGGTTTATGTAAGTGAATAATTGATTCAGTTAACGAAATGACAAAAGACTGAATCGAAATATGAATCAATGCATTGATATTGATATAATTTTTCTTGTCGAAAGAAACAAATTGTAATTGTGTAACTGTATTTTTTATTAATTTAAAATACAAAACAACATCTTATTGATAACTTCCTGTTTTGTGTAGTATTTGCAGGTTTTTGTGATACAAAATTTTTACTTCGTTTCTTTTGTAGATTTATAGGTACTGCTCGAGTTATTATCTCTTATTGAGGTGATATTTACTTAACATATTTAGATACCTGATAGTTTCGTATAATTAAGGTAAAATATGTCGTTTATTTAAGAATACAAAAGAAAATAATGTAGCGAGATTAAATAAAACGAGCGGTTCGAATTTATATAAATATATTTATTTATAACTTTACAGTTCGGTATTCTCTTATCAACTAAACTAACTCCTAAGATCGTTACATATATATACCAAAGTTACTATTTTCTAGAAAGTTCCCAGCTCTAGGCGTATATGTGACCGATTGTTCTCTTGCCTTCGAGGGATCTATCCATCGATGGTTCTCGATGCCGAGATGCTTCGAGATGCAACCGTTAGACGGGCCGCGCTGAATGCATGTTCGTAACACTGCTCCCCTCTTAGATCTGAGCGTCCCGATCAGCAACTCTATATGTAGGCCCAGGATGGCGGAATCTACATAGGACTCTCCAGCTCTGCATGAACCCCTCAAAAAGAAATAAGAGTCTACTGTCTTTGAAGGACACGTTCTCTTCGGATTAGTGCAACACACAGTAATTCTTACGCCGGTTTCTCAGAAGATTACTTCAATCATGCTTCTGACAATCTTCCAATCCAGATTATCTAGTGCTTGGCCTATCTTGGGTAAGGCCAAATTCTCAATGTCTTAATTGCAGACGATTTTCTTCAAATTAGTTAGAGCACACCATATATCCTCGTAGGTTGCCCTGTCTGTATACGACTTCCTGGTCACCATATACAGCAAAGATCGAGAACCATCTTCTAATCTCAGTACTCTTCCAACTTTAGGCTGCTGGTTTTTTAACTCGTCCAAGCGACCGAATTTCTTATAAAATACAGATGAGATTCCTTTAGTCATCTCAAGATCTTGAGCAACACAGTGGGCTAGAGAGACGTTATGCGGAACACTAAAAAGATCCTGCTGAACTTCTGTCGTCACGCCGAATCTAGCATTCTTTCTCTCTGCGTAATTTGACATAAACTCGTTAAAGCTTGGTCGCCGGTTATCTTTGATCTCATGTTGAAGGATTCGTACTTCCTCTGTTTCATTTGAGCCAGCATAAGGTGCAAGACGATTTATGTAAACTACTTTTGGTTTACCTTTCGGCAACTTCTTAATTCGGTATATTCCGGCACCATCTTCTTACATCATCTTTACAGTTCACCCAATAGAACCGTTCTCGAACCTTTTGCAGAGTCTTCGTAATACCAAAGTGTCCACCTGATGCACCGTCAGGCAACTGACGTAATACTTCTGACACTTTACTTTTAGGTACAATCAACTGAAGTTTAGTTTCTGTACCATCATCGTTCTCAAAGGTTCTATACAGAAGATCATCTTTCAGCACTAGGCAATTCCATTGGCTCCAGTAACACTTAACTTCGGGACTACATGCACTAATGTCTTGCCAAGAAGGTCTTTCACTTCGACGCACCCAATCCAATACTTCGAGGGTAAAATTGAAGGCAAGAGAGGAATGGGACGCAAGAAAATGTCCTGGCTCCGAAACATAAGGCAATGGACAGGGATTAACGACATACAATCTCTGATACATATTGCAAGAAATAGAGAGTTAATGGAAAATGCGATCGCTAACATCCATTAGTGGATTTGCATCTGAAGAAGAAGAATCCAATACTCTTTTTATACATGGATCATCTGCTTGAGCGTCTTGTAGCTGTTGAGGCTGCCATTGATCATTATTCATTAATAACGGTGGTTCGCCTCACGGGGCAAAGTCGTTGTTCTAATTCAAGACAATGATTACGATTTACACTGTATGGCCGTCTTGACTGAGCATTAGCATTTGAATGACTTCTTCCCGCCCAGTGTTCCATTTGTTCTAGCTTTCTGACTGTTGTATTATTTTCTTGTAATTTACGACGAATGTGACCTTCGTTGTTACCATTCCAACATCTGGGTTCACGTCTCTTCGGCATCATGTTACGAACTATTTTCCGTACGATTTCCTCCAGACGTTTATTGTTTCGTTCGTCATTCTCTTCAGAGGTTCGTACTTGATAGCTCCGTGAAACTCGACTAGCTATCTCGTGTTCCAAGGCAATGGCGAGCGCTTCATCTAAAACTTTCGGTCTTGCTAGTCGTAAAGCTTTCTGTAGTTCACTGTCTCTTAACCCATTGACGAAGGCATCTACAGCAATTTCTTCCAAAATGTTGTCTGGTGTCTCTGGATAGGCCAACAGTGCTATACGAGCAATATCTGCTTCAAATTCTTGCAAACTCTCACTTGCTCGTTGGATTCTACTTCTTATTTGTACTTTGTAGACTTGTTGTAGATGGGCATTTCCGTAACGTTTGTCTAGTCGAGTGAACAAGGTCTGGTAACATTTTTCTTGACCCTTAGGAATCGATCTTAGGATATCTGCAGCATCACCTCGTAAAGCAGCAGTCAAGAATTTTGATATGAATTAAGTAAAGATATAAGAATATCCACTCTTAAGGCGCCCACTCACTCAGAAGGAAGCGCGAAGGATTGAATGTGCATGGCACGGGGTACAGTTAAAAGTGTGTGTGTATGGCGAAAAATGTGGAATGCGCAACCAAACCTCTCAAAATCAGGATCGTCTTGATTTTTAGCGTGTGCAATTATCATCGCGCGGGGAAGAATGAGAGTGTATGGGCAACAAGTCTCTGCATGTTTCATTTTCAATCAGTGCTGTACGACTGTTCGTTGGATGTTGCATATTATTAAGCATTAAGCACCATAAGGTGCGTGTCGAGAGAGTTTATTACGGAATTCATAGAGCTATACAGAAGTTATCCCTGTTTATGGCAGATTAAAAATAAAGCATACAATGATCGAATAGGAAAGAATATAGCCTGCAAATTGAGAAGACCTACCAACACAAGGATTTTTGCAGAAAAGTTGTTTAATGATATACTTTACAATGCAGAACTAGGAAGGCTTAATAAAATTCTATTATTTCGGTAAATATGCCACTTGTGTCTGCATTACCTCAATGTGAAAGTCAATAACAAGTCAATATTCAAATATCGAGTTCAATGGGTCAACAATCCAATTCCGTTGCTACATATTATAAGAATTTTTCTAATAATACTGATTTCTGCAATTTGTAAAAGATATTTTTTTTGAAATATTAATATTTTTAGTATGATCTGTACCGATTCTAGTTTCAGTTTTTGTGTTTTCAGTTCTTTGTCTTTATTGAAAATCTCAATAAAAAGGAATTTTATATAGGTAAGATTATTTTTTCTAATGAAAAAAGATGTAAATTGCAAATCAATTTAGCTTCATTACTTCCTTTTGTAATACACGACATATTGCTTTACATGTTTCCGGAATAATTCGATATAATGCCTGAGCTGAAATTATTGTTGAAAATTTTAAGTCCTCATAGCTCCTTCGCGTTGCCAAAAATCTTAATGTAGCAGTTAGCCTTTTATGTGCCGTTATAGCCTGCCGCATTCGCGTGTCCTGTTTTTGTATCAAAAGAGTTACTAAAGATAATAGTTCAAAATACGTATCTTGATCCATTCTCAAGTAATTATGCCAATCTGATGAATCCAGTCGCAATTCGTCCAGTAAACTGACATGAGAATACGTAACTCGTTTTTGTAACCAAGAGTTTGTCCATTGCGACCTTGGTTTTCTTTTAATACGACACCTTTCTTTTATACAAACACACGCCACTGCCATTAATAAAAGATCGTTTTTTGACGTCATGTTCACTTTAACCGTACTTCTAAACTGAAAGCAAAAGTACTGGTGTATGCCGGCGTGGAGCGTACGGGTTTACCTTACAGCAAACATGCAGAGACTTAATTGCGCATTCTTCCTTCTTGGTGAGTGGGCACCTTTAAAGTCGATTCAGACACATCAGTCACGTCTCGTCACAGTCCTGGCGCCGAACCGAACAATCCGTCATACAAAATATTCTTTAATAGAAATATGGCGCCGGCATTCACATTCATCAGGCGACGGACAGTTTCCCAGCTGTCAGATAATTAATAGTTCTATGACCAAACAGGACCGGTTACGTGCCGGGACTGTGACGGGTCTGATGTGTCTGAATCGACCTTTATCCAGAAGAAACTACAAATAACTGAAACAAAACTTCAATATCCATACAGGGGTCGTCCAAATAAGACGGTAAATCGTAGTGAAGAAGATCAACTATTCGCTGCTTCATTCTCTGACTGGGTCAAACCAACTTGTTCTTAATATTCGTCTATAGCACTACATCTCGAATCTCTCAATGATTCTGTTTGAGAGTCCATGCTTTTATGCCGTTCAACAAGGTCCAAAACATCTTCAGTGGCAGCTCGTAGTTTTAGAGACAAGGTCGGCAATCTCCTCAGATAGGTATACCATCTACTAAAAAATCTTCAATCAGTATAGGAGCCTTTCAGCTTTTTTTGGTTTTTCCTATAAATTTAGAACCTAAACATGTTTGTAAATTAACTCTAGTCTACATTGTGTGGAAGTAGCAAAATGGGTTATAACGTCATCGTAAAATTTATTAGAGTTTTGGAGAGATTTTAAAAGTTTTTTGTCTATTGACATTTGAGACAAAATTGACATCCTTTCATGTGTCATGGTATTTCAACAATACGTTTTGATTCTTTTCAGACAAGAAAAATTCTGTTCATTTGGGGCAGAAGTTGGTGGTAATGAGAGAATCAATGGCAATAATTTATTAATTTCGGGAACAGTGTTGTAATGAATTGCAGTATATAAAATTATACATATCTTGTAATATCCCACCTTCCGAAAATATTAGGATCTACATATAAAACTTTTAATTCATTTTCTAATTATATTAAATAATTATGGATAATTTTTATATAACTTGTCTAACAGATATCTTTAAATATTCTTTGATGTAACTTTTTTAAATTTTGAATCATCAATAAGGTCAAAATTTGCAAATTTTCAAAATTCGAAAAACGAGTACCTATTTGCATAATAATAGTATCCAAAATTTCAAAATATAGTCGTTTTTCGTTATCTGTGTCATGCCTTTTTCTTTTTTGGGGGGTTCAGAAACATCAAGAGAATCCAAAACGTCACTGCGTATATAGTTATTGGAAATTACTGTCAAAAATCGCTGACATTTTGCACCAGCCAAACAAACAAGCCAATATGATAATCACAAAACATATATGCACCCACAGAAAATGATAAAATTGAATTATATGAACAACTGGAAGAATTATATGAACGGTTACCCAGAAATGATATAGTACTAATGGTTGGTGACTTCAATGCAAAAGTAGGCAAAGAAAACCAGTATAAGGAAGTAGCAGGGAAAGAAACTATTCATGACGAGACAAACGATAACGGAAGAAAATTATGCCAACTAGCAGCAATAAAAAACAGTTACATTATATGCACAGAAGAGAGCATAAAGTAACATGGTTGATACCTGGTACAACAGATGGCAATCAGATATAGATCACATACTAATATACAAAAAATGGAAAACAATAATGCACGATGTCAGATCATATCAAATGCGGACACAGACCATTTTCTAGTAATAGGAGAAATCAAAATGAAGATAATTACAGCAGATAGAACAAGACAAAATAAAAGAAGATGGAATCTGGAGAAGTTAAAAGTACAGACAACCTTAAAGGAAAATCTAACAGAAGCAAATAACACAGAGGACATATGGAAAAATATAAAAGAAAATTCATTTTGAGTTCAGCTGAAAAGGTGCTAGGACAAAGGGAAATAAAAAGAAGGAAAGAGTGGTTTGATGCAGAATGCAAAATCAATGGATATCAACTAAAGAAAAACATCATCGAAACGAATATAAAGAAAAAAAAAGCAGCGGATGATTGTTGCAAGAACAAAAAAAAAATGTGGATGGAAGAAAGGACCTAGAAAAGAATAGTAAAGACAGCGCCAGACTATTTGGATACCTAAAAGCTCAACAAAGAAAAGGCAGACCAGTAGTTAAAATTGACAATAGATCATGGGAAACACACTTCACAGAACTATCTAGACAATAGACGCAAAGAAAGCCCAGAAGAGGAAGTAGACGCAATGGAAGACATTAGAGATAATAAAATATGGATATCAACATATGTTGAATATTTAGACATCATCCAAAACATGAAACAGAAAAGAACACCTGGCCCAGATGAAATTCCCAATGAGCTGATTAAAAACGGAGGGGAAAAGTTATTAACAAGCATCTATAACGTAATAGTTAGAATATGGGAAGCAGAAGAAATGCCTGAGGATTGGAAAGAAGGCAGAATTATACCAATATTTAAGAAAGGAGAAGTAACAAACTGTAACAACTATAGAGCAATATCTCTACTGAGCACAACATATAAAATTCTAACAGCCCTCATCAAGCAAAACTCACTCAATTCACAGATAAAGAAATTGGGGACTACCAGCAAGGATTCAGAGAAAGCAGATCCACTACAGATGCGATCCACATAGTTACACAAACAATCGAAAAATGCCACGAACACAACATAGAACTCCACATCCTCTTCGTAGACTTCAGACAGGCCTTTGACTGTATTGGTAGAAATAAATTATTTATTGAAATGAAAAATCAAGATTTCAAGCAGTAACAATCCTGGCAAAAAAAGCACGGAAAAGAGGTCTAGAAATTAATCAAGAAAAAACAAAATATCTACTCTGCTCTAGAAGAGAAGATAACAGGGCGAGAGAAATCAAAATAGAAAACTAGACTTTTGCAAGAGTCCAACAATTTAAATATTTGGGAGTAATAGTGAATGCCCAAAACAAAAGAAGTGAAGAAGTAACGGAACGAATACTAGCAGACAAACAGATATAATGGAGATATCATAGGCTTATGAAGGACAAGAATTTATTCAGAAATACAAAACTGAATATATACAGAGTTGCAATCAGACCAGTAGTTACGTACGCAGCTGAGACAATGTGCCTCACGGAAAAAGAGGAAGAAAAATTGAGAATTTTTGAAAGGAAAATCCTCAGACGGATTATGGTATAAGAATTGACAACGGAGAAATGAGAAAAAAAATTAACCATGAACTAAGAGACATAATGAAGGGAGAAGATATAGTTAGATTTATTAAAGCACATAGGCTGAGATCGCTGGAACACATAGAGAGAAGGAAAAACGACCTACTGATTAAGAAGAACACCAGATGGAAACCAGCAACTAAAAGACCAAGGGGAAGACCCATAGAGAGATGGGAGGATCAGGTCGGATATCAAAATTCTGAAAGTGAGAAACTGGAGCAAACTTAAGCACATGTCGAAAGGAGTGAAAGAAAATTGTAACGAAAGCCAAGTCATCAAACAAACTTTGACAACATACAAGTGGAATGCGGAGTGATGCACCGCAATACGCGACTCAGAGAGCTCTAAGTAAGAGCAGAAAAACATTCCTCCCGGAATGAAAAGCCCTGATGATGATGATGGTGGCCATTGTCAATTATCGGACAGGCTAATAAAAAGAAGAAGATAAAGCCGTATGATAATTAAACAAACAAACAAAATTTTAAAAACAAACTTTATTAAAATAAAGATAAAATTAAAAATCACAATAAAAATGATATTTATAAGAAAGTACAAAAATCTTAACAACTAATATCACATTTTTCTGGAGATTTATTTCTGTTTTGGTACCCACACTGGACAAGCGATGGCGCCGATGTGCACTCGTTCAATGGTTATTAACTCATCGAAGGCATTCTCGACATTGTAAAACTTGTATAACTCGTCTATAGCTTTGTCTTCAATCTAAAAATACAAAAAAAAAATAAATAAACAATGGCGAAGAATGACTGTAATTTGAGATGCAACAAGTTAGAATGGTTTTTATTGCTAAAAAAAGAATGACAGAATTACTCGATGACAGATGACGTTTGACAGAAGTAACATGTAAAATCGGTCATGAAATGAAGTATAAAGTACAAATACTATTAAAGTGCAAATCTAGTATTGATATCGAAACAAAATACAAATAAATGTGATACTTACTTGAGTAAATAGAAGAGGCCTATTGGTCATCTTCATTAAGTTTTCTTTTTGTTTCTTTTCATCGGAAATAATATCACCGAAATGTTTAGAGTCTGCTGTCGAGACAGGACTAGATGCTTCTGGTAGGATCTTCCAAGGATTTTTGGGAGTTACTGAAAATTTACGAATGAATTAATAGTCTTAGGGCCGGTTTCACCAACGACAAATAGCAGTCTATTCAATGAATAAAGTTATTCGATCAATAAAACTGACATATCTGCGTTTCACCAACGTCAAATAAGACTTATTCTATGAATAAACTCCAAATAAGTTATTAGTCCAATATCGGCCAAATAAATATTTATTCTTCGAATAAGTTGACAGCTAACCTCACTTTAAATATCAATAATAAAGAAAATTCATTAGTTTAACTTGAAATTATCAACAATGTATTGCAGGTAAACGTAATTATATCAGACAATTTAATTTTGTATACATATATATTGATTTTCGAATATTATCTTCATTATCATCATCCTCTGACGGAAATGAACAGCGAAGGAGAAGACCACGCTGGTAGCTGCAAAGAAGAAACCCTTTTGCTGAATTTGATGATGTGGACTTTAAAACTAGGTTTAGATTATCAAAAAATTCAGTAGATGATTTATTAAATTTGATCGGTAACCAATTGCATCCTGTAAGCAACAAAAATAGACCCATATATGTGCGAAATCAATTGTTAATTGCTCTTTGTTTTTATGCAACAGGATCGTTTCAAATATATATTGACCATTGGCATGGCATTGACAATTATTATTATTTTGACAAATTAAATCAACCAATATCAAATATAATAGGTTATGTACATAATTACAGTGAAAAATAGTGCAATGTGCCTGGCCAAACACCTAAGAGGTGGAGGCCAAAAGAGGTGCCAACGAGTAGTCTGTGGAAAATCATTACGCTTTGAACTTATTCGACAAATAACTAACTGTGGATTACAAATAGTTATTGAAACGGAATAAAATTTATTCTACTAATAAATTTTATTCAATGATTAACTATTCAGGGATTTATTTGGTGTTGGTGAAACCGGCCCTTAGAACTTAAAAATTATTAATTAAGTATTAACAACATATTGATATAAATACCTTGAATTGGAGGGCCCTCCACAGCCTTACTTTCCGACGACAATCTTTTCCTCTGCTTCTGAGACATTTTGACAGGTTTAGTCCTAGTTTCAGATTTCTGAGGAGACGCTTTGGTAAGAGAATAAGCCGGTGGACTTCCTAATTCAGGAAATTGTACAGAATCATCAAATGATACACTAAGGCTGGACTTATTCAACTTCGTGAAGTTTTCCTGCACCAATTCTTCCTTAACAATCCTGCTAGCCAAGGTGATTGATTTCAATCTGTTGGGTAGCTCGGTTACTTTGTTGTCTACTTCAGCTATTACGTCTGGTTCGTCAGGAAACTGGATAATACTGTCAAAACTAGTGTCTTTCTCCGAAATAGAATTGGATTTTTCGGAAGTTCTATGTTGTCGGTTTCTCTTCTTATGTAGTGGCTTGCTAGGAGTTATGTCGATTTCTTCACTCATCGATACGGGATACGTCGAGGCTATAGAAGCTATGACTTCGTCCGCTTCCGCCGTCGAATACGGCGTTATCACTCTACAATGAACTTCTCTTTTCTGCTCGAAATAAAAATCGGAAAGTTCTTTTAGAAGATCGTCGTCCAAGTCGTTGAAAGCCTTCAGTTCCAGTAATGGAGTTATATTAGCTATAATGAACATCATACAGCAGTATTTGAGTTTATTGGCACAGTAAACATCGGCAAACGACAGTACTTGTATAACGTTCTTCATTGTTAACAAATCCGAGAGTAGCAACTCGCATTGCTCTTTCAGTCTTTGGACGAAGAGCTGGTCTGCTAAAATAACAACGTTGAACAGGTGATCCACTTCTAGGGCATTCAGTTTCGATAGTGAGTCTGTATATAGGTATTCCAATAAAGCTTCTACTGTGTTCTTGGGAAACGGAAGAGACACTTCGGCAGTGGAATTCTGGAAAATAATAAATCAGATCAACTATTTGATTATCAAAAGGAAATATTGTCAAATCATATTACAAACAAAAATTGTTTGTTAGAAAATACCGGTATTTATGTGTTCTGTTCCATCTCTAGTATATCAAGACGTTGTGCAGAAGGCAGATAGATGGAGCCCATCTGGATGCCAATCTCTGAGCAATAATATTGCAATAAATTCAAATAAATCTGCCTACTATGTAATCCGATATCTGCATGGTACAAAATGTTGTTAAATCTTCTCTTATTTTCTTTTCTTAACATTTAACGTACGTTTTCGTCAATTAACAGTCATGCAAACAAGGCTAAAATCTTGCAAACGTTAGTAGCTTGACTCTTTCTCACTAACATCTTATTTTAGTGTCCGTCTTGCTAGAATGTCGTTCTTGTTGGTCAAACAATCCTTTCTACCTATTAATTCCTGTGATTCTAAGGTTAAGCATTCAGTACAAAATAGCGTTGATGGTGGTGTTTTATAGAATCGTCAGTTTTTATTAACTCTCAACATTTGTCGCTGTTAAGTACCGACCTAACAAAGGACAATGACGATAATTCTGGATTCTTCGTACCTCATCATTGTGTTTTCAAGGAATCATCAATTAGCACAAAATTAAGAGTTGTATTTGACGGTAGTGCAAAAACTACCACAGGCTACTCATTAAATGGCATCATGTATGTCGGCCCTCACTTACAAGCTTATTTTACATTTTACTTAGATTTCGATAACATAAATTGTAGTAGGGGCACATATAACTAAAATGTACCATCAAGTTTTCATAGCCCCAGAACAACGTTATCTTCAAAAGATCCGTTGGAGATTTAATACAGATGATGAGATCTCTGTCTACAAACTAAACACTGTTACATATGGCACTGCATCAGCAGCATTTTTTGCCATTAGGTCTCTTCATGCCTACCGACATATCTCCGAACACCCAAAAGTTGCTTCCATCATTTTACATGACTTTTGTGTAGATAACTTACTAACTGGCTGCGGCACATCTGAAGAACTCAGTGTGAACACATCTGGTTTGCGCATTGTCAGCGGTCATGTTTTAAATTTCAGTCACGTCGTTGGACGATCATTTTGTGTTTGTTGTTGTCAGACTCAGATCACATTATTTGTTTGGTTAATTATTTGATTTTGTGCAATCGTAAACACTGACATCCTATTTTAAAAAATGGCGCAAGGTCAACGAATTAGTCTTGACAGCTATCAATGTAAATTTATCGGAGTGCACCTTCGGATTGTTCGGTGGTGCTACCTCCAAAACATCATCTCACGATACTTACTGCTCGCCACGAGCACTTGAAACTTTTACATAATAGTCCTCAAGCACTTCTTGCTTCTTTACGAAATAATTACTGGCCAATCTGAGGGTGCAAAAAATTTGTTTAAACCCTACCAATTGTGCGACTGCGTCCCGATCCACCTCGATCGAACCGAACGCGCTCCATCGACAGAGGGATGCTTACGCCAAGATGAGCGAAGAGGGATGACACACCTGCTTCGATGAAGATGCAATTAAATTACATTTAAGTTATTATTATACAATTATAGTTTGTTGTTTATAGTGTTTGTTTAATAAAATTACGTGAAATTCTCAAAATCCTCCACTACAAGCTCTTCCAGTCGCCGTTCGTTACATAATGGCGCCCAACGTGGGGCGTTATACATATTTTCATCGTTCAAATCCATGCTGAACTCAGTATTTGTGACTGTCGTTGTTTCTGTTGTCGATTTTCTAAAGCATTGTCAGTTTTATTGTCGTCTTCAATACAGAAAGTATCTTTTGTTAAATAATTCTGTATTAATTTGTCAATATGTTAACTCAGCGTAGATTTTGGATTGTGATAAGAATAAATTTTATATCAACAACGGTTTTCATAGCGTTATCCAAAGAAATAAAATTATATTAATACATAAATACAGACTACCAGGTCTGACTATTAAATAACGAGACTGTGCGCGCAGAAGTCGACCTCGAGGGGAAGAGTGGGAAAGAATGCAACATTGGATGGCTGCAAGTGTCTACTCTTCCAGTACGAAAACACGTTTTTGTCGCTGTAGTAGTATTTTTTCTGTAGAGCTTAGAAAAGAACGTGTTTTTTTCTCGTACCGATAACAATGTTTGACGAAAATATGAGCAACGGATAAATGTAAAATTTCTCGTTAAATTAAAAAAAACTGACTGAGTGCTATAATTTGTTGAAAGACGCCTATGGTGAGAATTCTCTATCTTGTGCGCATTTTTTTTTGAATGGTATAATCGGATGGTTGCTGAAACTGTAAACGCTGATAAAGAAACTGTCAGAAAAATTTTACATGACGAATTAAACATGAAGAAAGTCTGTGCGAAGTTGGTCCCAAAAAATTTGACCCCTTACCAAAAGCTCGTCCATCAACAGATCTGCTCAGGTTTTCTTGAAAGGTTACATGAAAAGCCTGAATTAATGGAAAACATCATCACTTGTGATGATATCTGGATATTCAAATACGATGTTGAAACTAAGCGACAATCCATGCACTGGAAAACTCCTGCATCGCCAAGAATGAAAAAAGCAAGAATGTCGAAATCAAAATTTAAAGCTATGTTTTTTCGACATTAACTGCATCGTGATGACTGAATGGGTTCCAGAGGGTCAAACTGTAAACCAAACTTACTATTTGAAAATTTTGAAAATTTAGCACCATGTGACTTTTTCCTGTTTCCGAAGATCAAGTCTGTCTTAAAAGGAATCCTGTTCGAATCGATGGAAGAGGAGAAGGGAAAAACGGCCGAGCTCCTAAAAGCTCAAACAAAACAAGACTTCCAGCATTGCTTTGACCAATGGTAAAACGAATGGAACGGTGTGTGGCGAGGGAACGGGAATATATTGAAGGAGAGCATTCGATTGTAGAATAATTTTTAAAATAAAACTCTTTCATAATCAGTCTCGTTATTTAATAGCCAGACCTCGTATAAATACATTATTATAAAATTTGAATACATACCTCATGCCACCTCATAAACATGTTATTAAAGTACTCCATGCGTGCCGCTAAAACACACTTGTGTGCACTGAGAGTTTTATTATCCCTACATTTGATAGTCACATCATAAAACGTCGCAAAATTTAACCTGTCAAAGTTTATGTTCATCGCAGATCGATGCGCTCCATTGTTTTTGCTAAAAATAACATAGTTACTCATTTCCAAGTTGCTCAGGCACTTTTGTAGAGTGACACATTCATATTTTTTGGCCATTTCGTGTAATAACCTCACTGGGTTTCGGGATTGTTTACTTTTGTTCTCTGTGGGTTTGTGTTTGTTCTGATGTTGATTATTTTTATAGTATTCAAAAGCGGAAATGTCCTTGTCAACTTCATTTACTTCAATAACATCATCAACATTTTCCTTGTCCTTTCTACTGCTGTCTTTCACATAACACAACTTCTTTAAAGTTTCGTTCTTCAATTCACCACATTTCGTTAATTCACACTCTCCACTATACATAAATTTTAACATTTGTCTAAATATTTCAGAGTTAATACTGTTTAGAATAACCTTGTCTTGTTTTTCCATCAACTTTTCCAAATAAGGACTGGAATTAGCCACGACGTATTTATGAGCAGGAATAGTTTTGTCATTTATTTTAAAAACTACATCATGAACCGTATCACAGTCGTCACTCTCTAGAAGGAGTGTTTCGAAGTTTTCCTTCATATCAGACCTCTCAATATCGCCAAAGGTGAAGTTTTTGTATGGCGGAGCCTACAAATAATAAAAAAGTACTACCAGTGTCTATTTATAAGTATTACGACATACTTTCTAGACTTTGCAATTAATGTTCACGGTACTGTAAGTTTGGATGTGACTAGTTGACAGAAGACTGACAAATGGCAGATGTATGACACAAAAACATGACAAAACACAAGACATGATGGACACATAAAGACAAACAACAATTTTTTATAAAGAAAAGTATTGAAACCAACTTTTGTATAGTTAGCAGAAGTCTGAAAAATTACAGAAATATGACACAAGAAAGATATCAAAACAAAAAACATGGAGGATACATGTAGACAAACAACAATTTTTCAAATTGACTTTTGACATATAACTGACAGGAGACTGATAAATGCACGATACAAGAAACATGGCAAAACAAAAGAAATGGTGGACACATGTACAAAAACAACAATTTTTTATATAACAAATTATTGAAATCTACCTTTGACAGAAGATTGACAAAGGACAGATGTATGACACAGGAAACATGATAAAACAAAAGACATGGTGAACACACATAGACGTAGATAGACAACAATTTTTTGTATGGAAAAGTATTGAAATGACTTTTGACGCATAGGTAAAAGAAAACTGGTAAACATCACAAAACAAAAGAGACATATTTTATATAGACAATTATTGAAATAGAATTTTGACGTAAAGTTGACAGAAAACTAAGAAATGACATGTACGACACAAGAAACATGACAAAACAAAAGACATGGTAGACACAAATAGACAAACAACAATTTTTTATATAGAAAATTATTAAAATCAACTTTTAACATAACGTTGACAGAAGATCGACAAATGACATATATATATATATATATATATATATATATATATATATATATATATATATATATATATATATATATATATATATATATGAGACAAGAAACATGACAAAACAAAAGGTCTGGTGCAGACATGTAGACAAACAACATTTTTTTAAATAGAAAAGTATTGAGAGTAATATTAAATGAACTTACCTGTATAATTGCGAAATCTTTTCCTTTAAGGTCACTTATCATAGATAGAGCCCGATGGATTTTTGTTATTTTTTGTAAAGACAATACTACACAATCTTCTTTTTCTAAAAACTTGTGAAACGCACTTTTCTGGGATTTTTGGTTCTTTTCAGCCGAATTAGTAATCTTATTTTGATTTGTAACTCTTTTCCTCCTTGGTTTGATAAAACCTTTGAAAGCTTCACCTAAAACAGTTCATAACAACTTAGTAAATAATACACACTATTAACCAAGAGTCATATAACTTGAAAAGAACTTGATGTCGTTATTTTACTTACCATCTCTGGACACCATTAAGAGCTCATTGAGACTCATTTCGATCTGTTTCATTACTATGGCCCTGTTTATCGAATAAATACACCGACACAACTGCTGATCTGATCCTTGCCACAGTAATACGTTTCCATCACTGGTTAGTACAGCCACTTTTAACTCACTGTTTATTTCTCTGGCCAACTCTTTGTCTAACAGAGAAGAATCCAAGGTACCACCAACAATGCTAACTTGAATGAAGTTAAGCTGCCTAAAAAAATTTGTATCATTAAAAAAGAACTTATCTTATTACTTGAGTCAATCTTTTTAATGATGTCTATAGATATGATTCTAACGATTTGTTAAATGATGTGAAATGTGATGAATCAGCTATCACCTTTCAGCTCTACCCATTCTCTTGGAGCCAGAACCCCTAATCATACAATCACCATTTCATGCACATACAAGTATTTATCTACTTTTAAACCATATCAGCCAATAAGACCAGGGACAGACATATAGATGTCACTAATAGTAAATAAATTAGAAAGACCTGTCAAATTTTGAATCAAACCATTAATTTACGAGTTACAGAAGTTTAAGTGACAGTATTTTTGCAATTTTGAAACTCTCAAAACAAATTCCTTTTTAGGTAAGCATTGGAGTGAGTTTAACAATCTAGAAGATGACTATGTGCCTATAAAAAGTCAGAATTTTACCAAAAGTTGTTTTTATTAGTTAAGTAAGGACTTATTTGATGAAATTATGTGTCATAAAGAATTATAATAAAATAAATGAGTTGAAAATAATTCCACCTTAAAATTGTGCAAAAAATGTTTCCGTTACAACCAAAAAATTATATTACTGCTGAAAAATAATTTCATGTCAAATACATAAATATATAAACAATTAACATACCTTGAGGCAATTTTTCTACACAGATACTCATGAAAGACATAAATATCCCCATTGGTGGTACACACAGCTATAGCTCCATTGCTGCTAGCTACATGGTTAATAGAAACATCTTGAGCAATAGTTATCAATTTTGGGGCAGCTATGAACTTTGATTTTTGCTCATTAGCCTTCACTCCAAGTTGGCCAGCATTGAGGCCCCAAGTGTACAAGGCACCTGGACCCCATGCTACTGAATGATACTGACTAGAACACACACCTTGGATTTCCTTTGAAAGGTGTTTTATTGGTTTAGGAACTAAGGATCGTTCCGGTGGAGGCACTTGACCTAGCACTTGGTAAGTGTTCAAGCCACAAGTGTAGATCTAAAAAATCTTTTACATAAAAAACATAAACACTTACAAGTACAATTTGTTTGATACAGATTCAACAGTATCTTAATGCATATGCAAATTAATAAGTACTAAGAAATTAACTACAACGATTTCTCCTTTCTTCCCAATTCTACTTACTGCATTTAGTATATCAACATAAACAAATCAAGGCAACTGTAATAATTAATTTCAAAATACCAAAGTTTTTGGAGAGAACAAAACACTCTTATCTTTATCTTTCCTCTCTAATTCATAGGGCAAATTATTTTTTAATTGAATTTACAATTTACTAACATCTTTCTAATATTTCAAGCAAATTTAGTCAATTTATGCTCATTAGGTTATGTAGAGAGCAGGACTGAAACAGATCCCACAAAACACATATAACCGATAAAGGGAGGAGAGCTAGGCACAGAGCAATCAAGCAACAGTTTTTATTTAATATTGAGTTTTGATTGGAAATTTTGAATTTAACCTTCAGCAGACAATTTCAGAAGATATATTAAAGATAATTATTAACACATCCATTAAAAACATTACATCTGCCAATAATGTTACCGTATTGTGACAGATGTTTACAATCTTCCATAAATTTTGAATAATTACAATCTTAGAAGAGATATTATGCTTTGTATCTTGTATCTTTGTATCTATGCATAAATAACCAGATTGACTTTATAAAGATGACAGCTGTTGAAACTTTACAAAAATCTAATTTATTTATTCCTCCCTAGATTTTTATAAAAACCTTATTGTATAATTGTCTGTTATTGTATAAAACAAAAATAATAAAGTTTGTACTTACATTTCCATCTGAACACAAGAAAATACTGTGATCTCTTGATATACTGGCTTGGTTACATGTTACAACTTCCCCTTTTTGATGCCCTACAAAGTTCACAACTTTGGGAGTGACTACAGTCTTTTCATCGCCAAGTCCAAGCCTTCCTCCTTGCCCATGGCCACAAGTTAAAGCTTTACCTAAAAATCTCAAAGCACTAAAGGATTGTCATCACTTACTAATTTTTTATATCAAAACTTGAAACACATACCTGAGACTGTTATAATTGTACTGTGGAATTGGGCTATACAGATCTGTTTGGCATATTCACCAGGGTATTCCCTGTGAAAAGAATCTAGCAAATCTGGGCTTTGTTTAGTTTGTTGCGGCCCTAACAGATTATTGTTGTTAGAACCCCAGGAATAAAGTTCACCACCGCTAATTCCAGCTTCTGGCTTAGGGCCATCTTTCATAGCATGCTCTAATGATGTGAGGTAGTCTAGGTCTAAGTCACTTGTATTTGCTCCTATAATATAAACACATCACTAGAATGCTTCTATTACTGTGCAAAAATTGGAATTATTGATTCAGTTGAATGTAGGTTGAAATTTGATGAAAAATACCAGTAATAAATCTAGTCAAGAGCTATAGTAAGGGATCTAGAGTAAAAATTTAGTACAGAATTAGAAAGGACCTAAATATCTAGATCATGATTGTATATAAAAGATGTGTAGCATGCTTGGTACAAACCTAATTTAATTAATTCTACTGCTACATCTATTTTTCCATAAAAAATACTTCTGTGTAAGGCAGTGTATGAAGATTCCCGGTCCTTAGCATGTATGTCTGCATGCCTGTTCAGAACAAGCCATCTTACAAGATTCAGTCTTCCACAGGAAGCAGCAACATGCAAAGCAGTTCTACCGGAGGAGTCGATGACAGATTCACATCTACTGCATACGAAATTGAGAAAAGAACACAAGTCTTGGTCTGAGATACTTCTTTTTGATATAGCATCTGTGATTACATCTCCATGGATTATTGATTTACATTGATTAGTACATTCTCTTTCAAAGGAACTGGGGTTCATAGCTAGAACAACAATATATATTGCAGATATAGGGTTTTTAATGTTAAAAATAATATAAAAGAATTGTAATCACAATTGATTTTATGAAAATTAAAGGAAGATTTTTAGTTTACCTGTAAAAATTCTTATTACTTCTATTTTGTTTTTTAAAATTTTGGAAAAAAATCGTAGTAAAAGTTACCATAAAATTTCACAAGATTTTAATATTAAAAATAATGTATATTTTTATAAATTTTTAAATTTAGACAACAGATTCCAGCTGTACACTAATCTGTCAACTATGATCTTACATCATTATATGAAAGTGGAAGTGTCTACTGATCATAAAATTATTCTTGTCTTAGACACAAGAAATTAATCTTAAATAAGTATTTATATTTGTTCATAATCATATTTTTAATATAAACTGTAATTCAGTATTAATATTATATTATTTACTTGAAAAACACTGCTCCTAATAAACATTATTTAAGATATTTTCCGTAGATATTTGTAGTATACAGTACTTCTATCTTTAAAATTTGAATGTAGAGGGCGCTGGTGATATTATTTAAAGTGTTAGCGATTTTTAAAAAATATGTACCTCTAAAAAAGTATGAATGAGTGATATATTCGCAGCAAAACTTCTGTTGTTTCTTTTTTAGTACTTTTCTTTTTTGGCTACCTTCTATAGTGTTGAGTGGGTGTTTGTTTAGTGCAAAATGAATTCAAGAAAAAGAAAATTGATTCAAAATTGTTTAGCTACAGTTGCAAATGCATTTGTAACTAAAGTCGCTGAAGCTATCGATGATGAGTGGATTAGAGAGTAGCTTAAAAGAAGGAATAAAAGAAAACTAGCCTTAGAGGATGAGTTGGAATATGAGTCTAAGGATAACTCCAGCGAAATTCGAAGAACTTCTGAATATGGTGCATGACAAAATCGAACAAGACACGTTTTATGAGGGATTCAATAAAACCAAGAGTGAAGCTTGAGATTACATTGAATTTTTTAGCTACAGAGAACAGCTACTGAAGCCTTTCTCATTTTTTTAGGGGTTCAAAACCTGCAATTTAAAAGTTGGTCCCCGAGGTGTGTGTGATGCCATCTCCGAAGTATTGGGGGAGTCAATAAAGATAAGTTTCAATAACAGGGTGAATAAACAAGTACACGCATTACAAAAAATAGTTTTAATTGAAAATTCGTAAAATAACAAAACAGTACTTCAGATAAATGTTGAAAGAGGTACACCACATAAACTTCGGTGAAACAAGTCCCGTTCAAATATTAAACCTGTGGTAAACCATCAGCCATTTGCATAACATATGTGTCAGAATATCTGAATCATCAGGATTCACAGATGCATCTTGTAGATGGATACTGTTACCATCTGGATACTGTGGCTCTTGAGTAACTCTCCATGACGAAGACGCCATTTGCTGAGCACTGCTACTCGTAGGACTGCCAAGTGGAGAATTGGTGTAAAATGAATGGTGGGAGTTGCATCCTGATGAAACAGAGTATGCAGGGCTGCTGTGAGACATGTGCACTGGTAAACTTGGTGGTGTGTTGAGTTGGAGTACTGAGCAGTTTGCTGAAAATAAAACGCTTAGTTTGTGCTTCATCAGAATTCCGTAAATCTCATGTTGGGCCATCACAGCTTGTTCCGGTGGTAAATTATTCAAGCTCGCTGAAACAAAATCTCCAAATGCTTCGTTCTCATTGCTGTCCATCTGGTCGTCATGGATATTTTGACTAATGTGTTGAAGGTCCCTTCACTGCTTGTGTTAGATTTTCAAGTCTCTTCTTTTTGCCTGCAGGCTGTCGTTTAAATATTTCCGATGCCGATTGCTTACGAGATGGTGTTTGTTGGCAGTTCGATGTTTGTGGTAGAGTTATATTTTCCACTGATTGATCTGGATCATTGATAGTCCCTTTCTCTTCCTGTGATTCTGCGTTGAGTGGATCCTGCGACTCTGTATTGTGTGAAATGGTTGTTTCCTAAAACAAAACAACAAAACAAGGTACCTACATTATAATAGTTAAAAATTACTCAAAAAGTTGTTGATGATTGGGGAGCTTTCTTAGTTTAAAGTATTGATTCATGTTCAGATTTACACATTTGTTTTGTTAATGTTTACTTTCGTTTTGGGACCAGCTTACTGCTAGTTGAATGAATAATATGTTCGATATTTAACCTGGGCCCTGATTCTAATTGAGATTTCGACTGAAAACATGTTGAAATCAATATGGCGACGTCGAAATGCGACTTTGCGAGCCTAGTGGATTTCAGCTGAACTAACCAAAGGACGTCACTAAATTTCGATTTATCGAAATTAATTTCAACTTCAAGAAAGTGGTTGAAATTTAATTTCGAGTCGAAATTAATCTGACATGACTAGCGGGACTGGGAGAAGCGAGGTTAGGTTCAGTTTAGGCGGTGTTGTTTTATTTGATTGTGGCAACGAAAACTGAGGCAAAAAGTATTAATATGGCTGCGTTTTATCAAAAATTGTATGTGATTCGGCACATAATTGGTCGAAATTTTAACACCTATAAAAATAGAACTACGGTACCTGGGGGCCCCAAGCCAGATGCTACTGATTATTTTTTTAAATATACTGTGGTGTAAAAATTAAAGAAATAAAATGTCCTAATATTAAAACTAAATTGGAAACCACAATTTTTGAATATATTCAACAGGCTGTAATGGAAGATAGAAATAATAAATAATTTGGTTGTAATAATTTATTTTAATTCTACACTCTTATTTGGAGATATAAAATAATCTTTAAACTCATCAAGAATTTTTAGAGCGGTAATGTATTGTTTTTAGTAATACCAATACTAAGCTGCAGTAAATTTAAAAATATAATATAACCACTAAGTCAAAAGCCATCATAATTTCTTTTTGGTCCACACACAATTTAGTGCCACCATCACCAACAGCCTCCATCCATTTTCTTTCAATTCAAAATATAATCATTGAGAATGGCCACTAAAAATTTAACAACTCAAACAAGAAACAAAAATCGTAAAATGTAAACAAAACTACAAAACAAACATTTAACAAGCGTGCAGCCAATAAACAAGACGGCCAACCCAAATTCTGAGCAGTGTCAAAATGATAAAGTAAATGTCCCCACTTTTAACTAAAATCGAAATGAATGAGAATCGCTAGCGATTGCGACTGTCATGGCGTAGTCGCTTTTAAATTTCGACATCGAAATGAAATAGAATCAGGGCCCTGGCGTCACCAAGGTGGTGTCTAATGGTATACCCGGTTCGCTATTACCAGTCCGAACTGTCTAGTGATTTTAGTAATTATTTTTTTTTCGAATTTAGTAACTTTTTGACAGACTCGAAGTGGCTGGAAAATACTATACAACCAAGCATACGTGCTCTTAGTCAATATTAATGTAAACAAAAGTAAATAAAATAGAACTTTGCCGACAATCAATATTTATTTATACCGTATAATGTATTGATAACAAATAATAACATTATTTATTGTACAAAATAAAAAAGTGGGAATAAATTCTACAAAATTAAGAAGTCAAAGTGAGGTTAAATAAGAATAAGACACAGCAAGTTCCTTATGTATTTACAACAATTAGATAATTCGATAAATACATTTTAATGATCAACTTACCTCAACAGGGTTTTCATTCGGTAAAAAAAATGGTAGGCATTTTGAATAAACCTTTGTGCAGTTACCTTGTAATCTAGGAACAGCATCCTTACTAATCTAAAAATATTAACTTTAAAAAAAACTTTTTAAAAAACATTTTATCATATTTATTAAGAAAAACTTACCAACGCATTGGCTGATGGAACAAATGGAAAACTTTGACTATCCATAATAATAAAATTTTAAATATAACTAACTAATTAACTGAATAGAACTAACAAAAGAATTAAACAAAGATAATAAAACAATAAAACTATATTAAATTAAATAAACAACGCGAATAATACAAATATTTACTACAATATTTTAAATTGTAACAATTCAAATATTATATTTTAAATATACAGCGAAAATTTGATGGGTTTAGTATACACTTCCACTATTTAGAATAATTCTTCTTTTTTTCAAAGAAAGAGGTCTGCAATAGTAGTATACTTGAGCTATTTATACTGAGAAGTAGGAATTGTTGTGTTGTAGGTTTCCTACAATGAGTCTGTCAAAATATGCCCTAGCTAAGCGAATAGACAATACCCCCAACACACGTAAAGGCGTTAAAGTTCTTATGGAAATCCATTGTTGCCACATCCTCAAATATGAGGAGAGCCACCTGTCAATTACTGTCACTTTTAACACAGAATACTAATCACAACCTTAGTGTTCTGTGCTTTTAATTTTAAGTGGAATAAATTAAAACTATATTTTTTTTATTACACTTATTTTATTGTTTGTTTTTAACCCTTTCACGACGGCAGTTTTTCGACGTGCCGTGCCTCAGATACGGGAGTTTTTGTGCCTTGCGCTTCAATGCGCTTCCCGTTTAGCACTTTCGCGCATTTATGCGTTTCCCGACTTTTGTGATAAACAAGTTCGTAAGTGTAAAATTGAAAAAACAAGTACAGAAGATAAATTTTTTACTAATTATTTATAAAAATGCATATAAATCAAAGAAAATATTCAAAAAACTAAAACATATAATTCTATATTAGAATAGCAGAAGTTTAGACCCAATATATTTGTTTTATTATGGTAGTTTTCAAAACAAGGTACCACACAAAGAAGAACCTCACACTGTTGGAAACAATAGATTGTTTCTTTGCGTACTTTTTTTTTACTGCAAACGATGCAAAGGAATGTGTTTTTGGTTTATATACATCACTGTCTTTCCGCTACTGAATCTCATCATCATCATCGACTAACTTAATTTTTTTCTCTTCTCAGTCAGATATCTTTTTTTCGAACCCATTTGTTAAAAAAAATTATTAATTTAATTCAAAATACTTAAATAAAGGTAACGTGGTTGAAAAGCAAATTTGCACGTACCACCATCGTCAACAAATGACCTAACATTTTTTCCAAATGTACTGACTTCACTCCAACTCCCACGCAGTTCATCGCAGCTCTGTGAAATTTAATAAGCGATGACATGTTAGAAATAGTATACAATAAGCAAATTTAAAAGCGATTACGAACGTTTCCCGGGAACTATTTTGCGCACTCAAAGGATTGTAATCCTATGTCTACCCGCCAGTTTATTTTTTGCCTTGTGTTTGTTGTTTTCTGTTTTGTTGCCAGTGTAGTTGCTTTTTGATTTTAATTAAAGT